CCCCCCCCCCCCCCCCCCCCTGGAACCGGAACCCAGTGCTATACAGGGCTTCAGAGAGGCCTGCAGCCACCCCAGTTTGGGGCCAAGGGATCGGAAGCAAGGGAGGAGTCTCGAAGGTGCGAGTGGAGCTCATGCATGACACCGGGTGGAAGTGTAACTGCCTTGACCACAGCAGTAGCAGAAGTGTCGCAACATCACAAACCTGTCAAAAAGTGGGAGCGCTACGCGGTAAAATACTTCTCTGAAGTCCAAGAAGAGGAGCCCGTGACTTCTCCTTCAAAGCAGCACATCCCTCCGGAAAGGCCCTGACGAAATGCGCTGCAAGTGTATATAACCGGAGAATGGGGGAGGCCCCCGATCTGCTTTGGAAGGCTTCGGGCTGGGCATCAGGATCTGAGTTCCAATATAGGTTACAGGATAGACGTAGGGTTGTCGAGAAGGCTTAAGGGCTTGGCTGGCTAGAAAGGCAGGCCTGGTGAGCAAGGCTTTGTCTCAATGTGGTCTTGTTGAAGTTCTTTTGCCTTTAGTCCGTGACACAAAAACGACCGGGCGACGGCTTGGTGGCATGTCTTGGCTGCTTGATTTTCCAGTCTCAGCGCACCGCAGCGAGTCCTCGAGCAGGATTTGAATCGTCCGCCGCTAAGCAGTTGTAAACCTGAAATCACCTCGCTTACAGACACTCCCTCCAAGGATTTCCTCGCATCTGCCAGCATATCGCATACCCGTCAGCCTTGTCACACCCAGATGCTCGGCGAAAAACCTAGCAAGAACTGCGGGGTAAATATCCGGGTAGGGAGGAAATGCTTCGTCCTTCTCCTCCTCCTCCTCCTCGTCCTCCTGTTTCAAAGGCTCTTCGAAGGGAAGCAGGCTTGCAGCTTGGCTCCAGCCAGCAGGCCCAAGGCTCAGCTGCTCTTCCGCAAGCTCCCACAAATTGCACTCGCCTGGAAAGCTCTTGTCATCCGAGCTCCCACCAAAGAACTCGAACTCCATCTCAATGGGAGAATCTCTCTGAAAGTCGATCAGGAAGGTCAGAATAACAGAGCCGCAGGCAGCCTTGACCCAGTCATGCTCTACGCTGATACACAACTCTCGGAGCTCTCTCCCTTCCATTGCAGTTGCCCAAGCCGAGGAGATGTGGCCCAGCCCCTCCTCAAAATCAGCCTCACCGTAGTCAAACTCACTGACAGCGGAGCCGTTCAAAGCCATGCCTTCAAAGGTAAGCTCCAACCCCCTGGCAGCAGACATCAAGGCTTTGAAGGCCTCTGTCTCCTGACCCGCTTTAAATGGCATGGCAAAGCTCGAAGGAGCACCAAGGACAATGCAAAGGTACATAAATCCAAGCAATAGTACATCACGAAGTGAGCAGCTGGATTCTGAGCGAGCAGCTGGTTGCCTCCATGTGCGAAGAGAACGTGCTTTGCACATCGGTACCATGAATCACGACTTCACCGGCTCTAATAACGAGTGGTGTGCATTTTAACCCTCAAGGTTGGTGACCCGTATACTCTCTCGGCAATACAGCACCATGAAGCGCAGCATCATCTACTGGAGCAGCTGAACATTGCTGCGCAGCTCTGAGACATGGAAGCCATGGAAACTGCCTTGTTTCACCTTAGGGTTTAGGGTTTAGGGTACTTCTTCCATACCTTTCTGCAGCTTCGGCTTGTTTGCCACCGGCTTCCGAATGCCTCAGCATCTATGCTTTTCCACGATTCAGAACTCCGAATCTTGGCTTGTGGCTGCATACCAAGGGCTGTACAACGGTAACACCGCTTAGTGTAAAGCCCTCGGCAAGCCTCAGCCCCTTCTCAGTACCACAGGGGCCTGAATAACTAGGGCCCTTTATACTAAACTTATGATGGGGAACCCCAGAATAGTATTGGTGATTATTTGGGCCCCTATATTAATCCCAAAGCCCAATATAACCCCATGCAGCACGAGCCAAGGGCAGGACGAACCAGTGGCAAATGGCGGCAAAAGCGACGAAGAGATGCCAAATCACGTGGTAGATGGGCCTCCCATGATCTGCGAATGTGCGGCTTGTGAGACTTGTCAGGATCCAGGGTTGGGCTTCCGCTTGGCGGCTTGGTGGTGCCGCTCTTTACTTGTTTCCTTTCATTTCGGCACGAACAGTCGGGCTGCCAAACGAGGTTCGCGGTGCTTCGTCGGTTGAGCATGAGACGCATGCCGTTTAGTTTCAGCCCTCACAACTGGGACATGCCGTTTAGTTTAGGGCTCGCTGTCTAGGGATGGTTTCAGTGACGCCGGGGAGCCATTTACGGTGCTGCGGGCCTAATACATGCATGCCTATGCATGTGCTCAAAGGAGTTTTCATAGCTGAAGCGCGCTGAACCTCTCAACCATCACTGACTGTAGGGTTTCTGGCAGGTTTTGGTGATAGATCAGCACTGTGACATCGCCCACCGAAAACTCCGAGCAGCAAGACGGCCACTGAAATAGCAACTAGAGAACTCCAAAGTCCACAAGCCGTCCCTGAAAAAAAGCTCTGAATCCTACTACATACTCAAAGGCAGACCTCGAAGCTCTTGCCCTGACATTCGAATGAGACAACCATACTAAGAACATGGTTTTTGGGTGACATAAAAAGTAGAATTTTGCAGCGGCTCTAAGGGCACACTATGACGAACTACTCGAGCCCCTTCTTTCAGCTGAAGGCGCCGAATGTCTGCGAGCACGAAGAAGGGCACTCCTGCAGTGTAGAGCAGCCTCGGCTTCGCGAGAAGCCCCCCCCCTTTCCGGCAGGAGCCAGGTTTAATCTGTGCACATACCATATCGTGTAGCACATGGCATGTGCATCTCAACACGCCCACACAGAATCAATGTGTGTGCTTACCTCTCTCTCGTTTATGTATGTGTAAACATGTGCACACTTTTCGGTTTGTACAGCTGTGTGTACACACGTATGTGTAATGTGCGTTGTTTGTGCATGTATAGATACATATACATGTATGGAGAGAGAGGGAGAGGTATACATAGGTCGAGTGAGAGGTTTCGGCAAATGCAAACGTAGAGTTGCGGGTATAACCAAACATACAGATATCGCGAAGGAACGATGAAGAAATGGACATGTGCGAAGGAACGATGAAGATATGGATATGCATGCATGCATGCATGCATGCATGTATATATGCATCTCGGCATTCATGCATGGACGTGCGCGTGGACGTTATGCGGATCTGGTATGTCTGTCTGACTGTCTGTCTGTGTGTCTGTCCGTCTGTCTGTCGGTCTGTCTGTCCGTCTGTATGTCAGTACCTATGTAAGTATGTAAGTATATATGAACGTATGTACGTATGCTTGGGATGGTATGGTATGGCAGTGTACACGTGCGCATGATCGTCTCCGTGTATGCGTGTATATTCTTTAAGCATGCATGAACGGATGGATGCAGGTCGGCATGCATGAACATTCGTATATGAATACATAAGTACTGACTACACCAATCTGGCGGTCTCTGTATATATATATATATCAAAAAAACACACACACACACACATATATATATATATATATATATATGATGCAGGGCTGCCACATCCCCCCTCCCCCCCC